GTTAAGAAGCTTTCTAACTGGCTCGAAAGACAGAACTGTCAGAGCAAACAAGGGACACACATAGTTCGTTCCCCATACAGTTCGTTTAAATCATCTTATTGTTTAAGCTGAAATAGTGCTTTTACGATGCAACATGTGATGGGGAGATATGTACTTCATAGGAACACATGAAACAATTTTTGTTAGCTTCAACACGCTTTTTCTGTCCTCCTTCTCCTTGGTATTTAACTCTACTTCTTTTGCCAACAGTGGAAAAGAAACATAAAGTTTTGAAACCTTTCTTGTGATATCTCATACGCTACAGGCATTCAAGGATCAAGGAGGCATTTCAAAGAAGAGTGCAAGCAAAGAAATTTGAGTTCCTTCTTATCCGCATTTACTAATTTGCTCCTAACACACTGAAGGCTAGAGAAGAGGGTTGGAGTCGATGTTTTTCTAAAGGCTAATATCAAACCGCTGATACTCTTTGTACAATTGAATGAAGTACAGTGAAGATGTTTGGGAGCGAAAGGCATATTCCTGGAAGTCATTGGGATTTAGTAGTTTGACATCATTACGTAATCCCCTTTACATACCATCTTATCGTAATATTCACTTTATATAATGCATTGTCAATTTAAATTCAACATTGAGTTCTTAAGTTTCCAGTTAACAAGAAGTGCCAGAACAAAAATCAGGTGAAATATATAATTCTGACCCGGGGAATGACTTTTTAATATCTTTTAGAAAACAAAACTATCATTCTCTTCCCTGTACCTGATTAAATCTAGTCCAAGGGGTTAAACGCAACTTATGTTTGATAGTGTAATAACTTTATCTTTTTTTCCAGTGTGTCTAATGTGTCTCGAAGGCTCGGATTGTGAAAGAGATGCAAGCTGTGAGGAATGCTCCGGCGTCGCATGCACCAGAATCACCTCCTTTAATCTAGAGGATAACCGAGAAGTGGCACTTACTTGCATTCCATACGATACAAGGTAAGAATAGTAGCCATTCTATGATTTAAGCAAGTTTTAGCTTCAAGTTTTGAAATAAATCTGCAATATAGTCATGTCATTATGTGAATGTTAATGACTAACCTTATCAAAGGCTGAAAAGGAAAAGATCTTTTATTTAAAAAAAAAGCAGCGCTTTCCGAGTTTTTTTTTTCATTTTTTCTACCAAAGGAAGCTGGAAGGGCGTAGTTTAACTTAGAACTACTTAATATTCGCACCCTCAAAATCATGGGGTTCAATATCGTAAAGTTTGAATCTAGAAAAACATTGGTGCGAGTCTTTCGAGGGAAATTGGTTAAGGCGATGCTATTTTGTCAATCACTAGAACTTGGAAAGTTTGTATTTTACAAATGAAGCCAGACATAGTTGTTTCAAAGTTACGCAAAATATAACATTGTAAGGTTGATTTCCACAATTTCTAGGAAAGCTGTCATGGCTCTTTTATTTGTCAGCCATAAGCGCTTCCATACTGCAGGTCAAGTTTACCAAATGAAACAGATTCGCCCTGCATATTTGAATACGGCAGTCGTTTTATACGGTAGTTCTCTGAATACGTATTGAATGCATTACTTTTTCTCCAAAATAATGAGCCAGCTCAGCTAAAGTAACTTTCTTGACCATGTGGAAACATAGACGATTCTATTTACGTTATTTATGTTAATTTGCTAGATTCTGTACGAATCGACGTTTTACTTCGCATAAGTGCAGATTTATGTACGAGTGGGATTCACGAGACATTTTGGTATTCGCAGAATCTAGCCCTTTCTTTGACTTCGAAATTTAAAAGTTTGATAAGCTTTTGATACTGTAGAATCCCCCACTTCCTTAAAGTATGGTTCAAGCTGGCAATCGCATCGCTGTCCAAATATGGGTTGCAAGAACATAATTTTTGCTAGCATTTTCTATGACGTCACCTAAGAAATGGAAGAGAATTTGTTTGTTTGATGAAAGGTGAAGAGTCTTCTGAGAAGGAAGCGAAGAAAAGAAGTTGACAGCCCGAGTTAAAGCCGCTTACGCAAGATCCTTCGCCTTCAAAGAATGAAACCTAGAAAATTTTCCATACAAACTGCTGTGCAAATACCATCGAAGCAATTCAGTGTTCCTTACAAAACTAGTAAAAGTATAAAAACTGAGCTTATAAAAAGGTACTTTTTTAAAATGATAATGAGCATTATGCCTTTACATCTGTTTACTTGACTAAGCTATTCAGGACATTTGGAAGAGCGCATCTGGAAGAGTCCGGATGTCGGCGAGTCGGTGATCGTCAAATCTGTGTTTGCTACTCAGGGGATTATTGTAACTCTGCCAGCATTCTGATATCCTTTGTTTCATTAGCTGTTTTGTTAATATTCTTATAATTACATCTTCATATCTCCCTAAACGTATCATTGATTTCTCAGATAATTATAAATGTTATGTACAGCGGTCGACTAATTCCCGAGTTTTCACCACTTTCCACCATATCACTTCATCCGCAAAGGTTGTAAAGCACATTCTCTTGCATTATCCTTCTCACCTTAAAATGTA